GGCTTCATGGACAATTGCTCTGTATTCCTCCCAGGCTCCCTGTGCTTGCTTCCACCCTATGTAGGCCTCCTTTTTGTGTTTGTTTGTCCAGGAACTCCTTGTTCATCCATGCAGGCCTCCTGGCTTTTTTGCCTGACTTCCTCTTTGTTGGGATGCATTTCTCCTGAGCTTGGAGGAGGTGATCCTTGAATATTAACCAGCTTTCTTGGACCCCTCTTCCCTCCATGGCTTTATCCCATGACCCTCTTGAACTCCACCATTCCATGGTCACAGCAGCCAAGGCTGCCCTTGAGCTTCACATTCCCCACCATCCCCTCCTTGTTGGTGAGAACAGGGTCCAGCATAGCACCTCTCCTTCTTTGCTCCTCTGTCACTTGGAGAAGGAAGTTATCATCAATGCATTCCAGGAATCTCCTGGATTGCTTATGCCCCGATCACAAGATTCTTCTCTGCCACAAGAAAGGTTAGCCAGCTAAGACCTAAGGCTGGTACACTGAAGTAAATTAGGGCATGAAATGATGGCTACTCTGGTTCCTCTGACTGTGGGATTATGAATAACCATCATATTCAGAAAACATATGCAACAATTCTTCAGAGGAACAAAACAATGAAACAAACAGAAGCTGCCGTGTACTTACCTGTACATTTCCCTTGCATTCATCCTTCCCCATTCACCATTTTCAAATGCCTCCTTCGCTGCTGCCACTGCCTTGTCAACATCAGCCAATGAAGCAGAAGATACACTGGCTATTATCTGTCCAAAGTTAGCGTTGTGTTAGCTCAAACTGAAAGGCTGGGATGCAGAGAGTTATTCCTTCCTCCTAAACTTACTGACTGGGTATAAGCAAATGCTTAATATCCTCAACCCCAGCTGCTGTCGTGGGTGAGTCAGGCTGCAAAAAGTTCAGACACAACTGAGGTGGCAGAACTTGGAGAACACTGCAGGGACTCGGATTCCTAGATCTTTCTTTCTCTTCTCAGCAAGGTGCATTGTCCCACTGGATTTCACCCTCTCTTTCCATATGTAAAATCAATGTGATATTACAAAAGTTGCAAGTCTTTGTATGTGGTATTATGATCTAATATCTAAACATGCTAAAATTACTCCCACATGTTCCAGTTCTTAGGACTGGAGTTTCTGTTACCACAAACCACCATATACACACAGTATTTTATGATGATTGTGTTCTATAAATACACACATTGTAAATCCTAATACAGATTTGTTATGACTTTTATTCCATTATGTAGTGAGTTTCAGGAAAAATACCAGAGTCTGACTTCTGATGATAGTGAAATTTGTGGCTTTGATTTCAGCAGAATTTGTTTACTCCAGAATTAAATGGCAACTACATGGACATCAGAATCACTTCTCTTATTTGTAATTCATAGTTATGAGTTGCTCAAACAAGATTCACTAGCTCAGGACTGAAGTACAAACGTGTGTATTTTCCTATTGAAAAGTCATTTTTTTTTACTGGGAATTTAGAGGGACATTTTAAAGACACACTTGCCCTAAGACACCAGATTTATAAAAAAAGTAAAATAAAAACTGAAGTTGACAACTGACAGGAAATATATACACTATCCTAAAAGAAATACTTCTTTAGCAACTAAACTTCAGCAATTTTTGTTTGTAAAGCTCAACAAGAATAAAATCAAGGTAAAACACACAGCTGTGTATGGAAATTGACGTAATAGTTGAAGTGGGAGTAGGTTACTTTTGCTGTGCAGCTTGACTGAAATAGAAAAATTGTCGAATATACAAACAGAGAAGTCAACTGACACTTCAAATTATTTCTAGGGGTTGTTTAACGCGTACCGTATGGTTTTGAAATTAGCAATATTCAGTTAGTGTTTAGATTTTTTAATAGGCAAAGAAATTGAAATAAACTGGTACTGATCATATTCAGAAATGACTTACTGATCCATCTGCTGGATTTACGGTGTCATATGTTTTTCCATCATCAGCATTTACAAATTGCCCATTTATGAAACACTGGTATGGCATATTCACAGTCATGTTGTTCATATGTTTTGAAACCTAAGAGTGAAATAAACAACACGTGAATTTAAATTTTTAATAACTAATATTTTACTGAAGCTTAACAAGCTTTTGATATCTGCAGCCAACATCCAGATACATTTAAGATTTATATATGGCTGTTAGGAGTGGACAAAAGAGTAAAATTAAATGGAAATCATATTCTCCCTGGATGCCAATGACCATACTCTGAGATAGTTTAGCAGATTTCTGTATTTTTTAATCATTGAACCTCTATGTTCAAATCAATACTAAACCCTGGTTAAGGCTGGTCTTAGTGGACTTCAGTCAAATGCATAATTCCCAAATTCAAGAAATCCTGACTTGCTTAATGACTTAAAAAACCCACGGAATCCTTCTTTCTCACAAATTTTTCAAACAGATTCTTAGGAGAAAAATCTAGCACTGTTTGCCTCAGGAAAGTGGAAGGTCTGACTGAAGCGTACTGGCAGGACAGTGCAGGGGGGGTAGGAATATTTGCCTGTATGTGAGCTACTCTACTGCATGTTCTTGACCTCCTAGTTTCTGGAACACTGTAAGTGACAACACATCTATATTTCCATTCCAAAATGCAAATATATAAAAGTTGCAAAAAAAAGTCACAAAGAAGAGTTTGTATAACCAAATATTTGTTTGATTTTCCTACTGCAACAAGCAGTCTAATAAAATGCATTGTCTATCCTCCCCCCAAAACCAAGAAAGACTAAGCAATAAAGGCAAAATAAAAGGTCTTACATAATCAATGACTAACTCTTCTTCCTTATCTTCTCCTCTGAATTTTCTGACAGCCATTTGAATAAAGTCTGCAAACTTAGTGGCCATATACACATCTTCATTCTGTAGTTGAAGTCCACTGTATTTCTGTTTGATCTCTTCTAGCATTCTAAAGATTTTGAAGAAAGAATAGGTTTAATTACAAATGAAAGAATTCTTCAGATAACTGAATCATTAGAAGGTTGAAAGGGATCAAAACTGCACACCAGTTTGTACGCATGTGAATATGTGTGTGTGTGTGTTTCTCTGACGACAATGGCACAGAAGTTGTGCATTTTACTGAAATCTGTTGGTTTAATTGGAGGTGTTATGGAAAACGAAATGTCAGTTCTGGAATACTCTTAGGTAAACTTTTGGAAATAAATGACAAATAGAATATATTGATAGATAAAATAGTATATGGGACTACTCTAATCAATACATGGTGCACATTCAGAGCTCTGTGAGACTGATAAGTAGGACAATAATCAGTTTGTTAAAAAAAACATGAAATGATGGGTTTATATTATGGCCTGGAATATCTGAGTTGCAAAAAGAAGGTAACTGAGGTGACCTAACACAGGATGAACTCGGTGCACTTCTAAGCATGGGCTCAATTCTTTCTGTGA